GTATCCAATCGTATCAAAAACAATTGTGAGGACCAACACACAATGCTTAGGGAACTCATCCTCAACAACCGCATCAACCGAGTGATTGTGCTCACGACGCACTTTATGGACGAAGCCGACATCCTCGGCGACCGCATCGCGATCATGGCCGAAGGTCAAGTCAAGTGCTGCGGGTCGTCGCTCTTTCTCAAGAACCGGTTCGGTGCGGGCTACAACCTCACGATCGTCAAGGAGCCCATGGTGCATGGGTGCGTTCTCCCAATCATTTCGTGCTAATCACGACTCACTCGTTCGCGGCGTAGCGACGAGGACATGAGCCATGCGCTCACGGCGTTCATCCAAGAACATGTGCCCACCGCGAAGCTCCTCTCCAACGTCGGGTCCGAAATCGGGTTCCAGCTGCCCATGGACAGCTCGCCGGTCTTTCCAGAAATGTTTCGCGCGCTCGAGTCGCACGAGACGCGGTCGTCGCTGCGCGTCGCGTCGTTTGGCATTTCGGTCACGACGCTCGAAGAGGTGTTCATCAAAGTTGCCGAAATGGGCGACGACGACGGCCAGCACACGCTCTCCAAGGAGAAGCCGACCACCAAGACGAGCAGCTACTCGATCCAGAAGCACTCGCTCTCGCGCTGGGCCATGTTTGTCAAGCATTTCTTCGCGCTGCTCCAAAAACGGTTCCGCGTCGCGAAGCGGGACAAGCGCGTCATGATCTTCAGCACGCTGCTCCCGTGTCTCCTCATCCTCATCGGTTTTGGCTTGCTCTACTCGAGCTCGCTCCTCGAGAACGACCCGCGACTCCGTCTCGATCCAGCCACAACCGAGGTGGGCTACGCGCTTGGCGCTCAAACCCCGCTGCCCTACATTTGCAACAGCGACGTCGGCAGCATGTGCACCGACTGGGCCAAGGCCGCGACGCGCGGTGTGCCCACGGCCATGACCACGAGCGACTTCATGGTGCCCGAAAGCTCGGTGACCGTGTTCAACTTCTCGTACGGACCGACGCTGCCGCAGGCCGCACTGCTCTTTGGCCCGGCCGTCGAGACGTGTGTGCGCACGGCCGAGCACCTCTACACGCGCGGGTACACGACGAAGATCGGCGGTCAGTACGGTGGCTACGTCCTGCACGGCAACAGCACGAGCAACATGCTGAGCTACTCGCTCCTTGTCAACACGACGTCGATCCACGCCGCACCCGTCTACCACGCCGCGATCGACGAAGCCCTTGTGCGCTACGTCAACGGGCGCAATGACATCTCCGTGACGGTTCGCACCCCGTTGTCTCTGTACTTTTTCTCTAATCGCGATGATGTAGGTGAACGTCTACCCGTTTCCGATCACGGCGCAGACAAAAGCGCTCTTCAGCTCATTTCTGTCGTTCACGGCGTGCCTCTTCATCGTGATCGCGATGACGTTCTTTCCCGCGTCCATCGTCACGTTCCTCGTGAAAGAAAAGCAAAACGAGTGCAACTCCAAGCACCAGCAGCTCGTCTCGGGCGTGAGTCTACCGGCCTTCTGGCTCTCCAACTACTGCTTTGACCTGCTTGTTTACGTCATTCCATTTGCGGCCGCGCTCATATTGATCC